AACAAACCGTGTATTTCCAGCAGTATTCGGAAATATGATAAGTAGTTAGCTCTAGCCTAGTCTGGGACCAACGACAGCAACCAAAAGGAAAAAGAAGAGAAGCGCGAGATGGGCTACAGCCCACTCGGTGGCTCTCAAACGCGCGACAAGCGAAAAGCGCATGAAACCTTCGAGTGCGTTGAACAACGCTCGAATGGGTTCGGGTTAAACGACCTTGAAAAATGAAATAATAGATGAGCCGTTATGAAAAGAGCAAGCATTCACTGCGCGCAATTAGTTGCACGACTGAAGAAAGTGGCACCGAGTTCGTATCAGGTCTCCTGTTGCAGGCGTACACAGAATCATGCGTAGAGAACAAACAAGCGAGAAAACACGGTTATAGCCGGGATCCTCAGAAAGGACACACGGTCGCCGGTCACTACACAATATATGGAAACAGATGAAATTGAGTTGCCTGTTGATCTTCGGGAGGTACACCTCTCAGCCAGTCATACTATGATGTTTGGAACGCCAAGTGCCTATCGCAGTGCAGACAAATATTCCAATCAATACGACATTCAACGGAATCAAAGATGATGACTGCCATGTACCCTAGACGCTTAAAATACGGGTTTTTCATCACTTCCTGCATGTGTTCGTCCTGCGAATTTTTCATTGTAATGCCCATATAGCACACTTCTCGCCTTGATATATCGGTATCTCGCGTGTTTCGTCGGGCAAGTAGTAAATGGTCGAAAATAAAAATACCAACAATTCCGCATGCCATATGTAAAAGTCAGTTATTTCCATTTAAAAAATGGGGGATTATTTTCATCAAATTTACTTATGTTTTTTTAGGCGCACTCGTAATTTCAGACATTTTATTGTGGCTGCGCTGCAGTGATCATTGAGGTAGATGGGTAGAAGGTCGGTTTTTTCTCCGTATTTCGTGGTATCGATGAAATTAACTTGCCTCTTTTATTCGGATGCGAAACTCAGGGAGAGTGCTTTTATATCTTTTTATCATTTGTGCTCTCCCTGAACTATTTGCAGAGATACGGAACTGCAAACAAATCCAAGAAGCTTGCATTTTTGTGGTTGACGTCTGAAGGTTGTGCAAGTTCAGGATGCCACATTCGGGTCACTGGAAACTAATAGGCAAACGTCTGTAGTATTATTAGAATGCCCATAAGGAATAGTGTAAGATCGTTATATGTCAAATTTGCTCTATCTCGATTACTTACGAATATATGAAATTTCAAACACATCGTGAAACTATTATTTTGGTTCACATTTGATTTTTGTACATGTTCAGGATGGTACATTCAAGGTGCTGGAACTGAACAGGCAAATATCCGTAGTATTATTAGGATGTCTTGAAGGAAAACTTTATATTTGCTGTGTTTCACTTCTACCCTATCTGGATTGTGTACAAAAATATGCTATTTCTACTTCGTCCGTGCAAGTTCAGCTTGCATCTAATTTTTCGTCCTACTCCCTCTCTGTTTCGGTTATCCGTGGATCCTATGGGAGAAATCGGGTTGCTGGTGAATGGTATTTAACTGTTCTGACGGACAAATTTGTTTCCGCAATATTTGAACGAATCGAAACAAAAGTGTCATAAAGAGGCAGAATAAAATTTTCATTTCACTCGCAGATTTCTCTTCAAAGTTAGTTAAACGATGGGTTGAGAGTCTTCCCGAGCGTTGAAAATGAGCACCGAAATTGTTTTGAATAAAATCGCCGGTATTAGAAGGACTGAAAAAACTTCGTTCTCAAATTTTGTCAACCGCCCGCCGACGTCCGCGCGGGGCCCCGCCGTTGTCCTACTTGGGAGGTGGTTTGAAAAGAGTAACTACTA